TTATACCAACTAAGCCACGGAACGAACCAGCGGACCTCACGAATTTTTCTATGTGCATGCGTCGTATCTTTGTATTTGGTTTTTTCAACGACTTTTTAGTCGTAGCGCGATCTATGAGAAATCTATGAAAGTTTTATCACCAGTTAGATTTTCAGTTACCAGTCCTGGCGAGAGATGTCGTTATTCACTGTATTGTAAATTTTTATTGAATTGATATTCAATTTTATTTTTGTGAAATTACTCCACTAGTGAATAGCGACATCAACTATATTTATTTTATTAAATAAAAATGATTAAAAATACGTGATATTAAATTTTTTCTTATGAAAATACTGTGGTTTGTTTTTTGTTTGTTTGGTTTGTTATTATTATTAATACAAACATCTTCGATGTAGAGTAGCAGCCACAGTAAGGCAACATATATTGGTCCAAGTCCAGTCGGATCACTTAACGTCTACAAAATGCCCAAGTTGTAGCGTTCAGAAAATAAGTCTGCAGGCAGGGAAATTCACTCCATAGCCGTTCGCCATATAAATGCGAGCGATGTTTGTGCGATTCTTTAGAATATACACTAAACAGGGGCGCAACCCTAGGTTACGTCTAGTCCGCCGATGATAGAAAGGGGAACGTAAATTTTGTGTCCTATGTAACATAATAATCCCGAAAAATATGTTTAAATGTAATTTTTAAAAATTACGAAAACAGCTTTACGATGAACTCAGACCGTGACGTCATTGGTAAAAAAACTAAAACGACTACAAAATCACGTGCAAAATGTTATTTGAACGTTTTTTGTGAAGTTTGGCATCGTAATTGAACGGATAGCGTATCAAAAACAAATATACACATACACAATCGATTATCGGCTTTCATTTACTCTGGTTCTACGTTAAAAAAGTAAACAAGAGGCAATGTGTACCTGCCACTTGCGACAATTTTACGTGTTGATTGATTTCTCTACTCAAATCGAGTTCTTAGGTTTTTTCAATTGCTACACATTCCAAATATAACTAATTTTTCGTATATAAATGGCGTATATTTAATTTTTCAAACACGCCGACTTTTCGGAGTCTTTAAAGGTAGTCACGGTTGACTGAATTGTCTCTATATAAATACATACTCTTTTCAATCCAAAACTTCTGGGGAGATAACAGACTACAAGTCAAATATACCCTGGGAGTCGAGCGGTTGGAGGTCTGCCACAACGTAAATTTTAATTCGTTTGTGGTGAGAGTGTCGACCGCACATCTGTCGACATTCGTGAAGAAGGAGTTTAGGCATAAGAGTGTCATATACCGGCGATTCCGATGTAGGTTCCCTGACACCAGTATGCGCCACACGATGCCGACAAGTGCAATTCGTGTAGATTTGTTGTTTAGTTTTTATTTAATATAATATGTATGTTAGTGCTTAAAGTAGACGTGTACAGTATACGGGTTATGTTGCTTGATTTAAATGAATAAATCAAAAGCGGTTAAAAGTGGAGAAAAAAATAGCGAACGGTTAGTACAATGACGTTTCTTTGCGTAACAGATTAAAAACATTAGGATTTTCATGTTTTGATTATTAAATATTTGAGGACCTCGGTGGTCTAACGGTTTGCATTGTGGGCGTTGGATGCGGAGGTCCCGAATTCGATTCCTGGTAGGATCTATTAGGAAAATGAACTTTCAAACGTGGCAATCCGGTTTTGATAACCCATTGTTGACTTTTTGTTTCAGTTTGCATGTACATAATATGCAAATTTTAAAGTCGATTCCTTTTTTCTAATAAAAAATATTTTCTGATTATTGACTGCTTGCATGTTTGAATAATATATATGTAACCGTGACACAGTCGTGACTGACATTTCACGAAACCGACAAGATAATAGCCCACTATGATACTTACAGTTAGTTGATCGCAAATCATTTGCCAATCACTCGAATGCCCCAAGTACGAATTAATAGCACTTAACTGGATATGGCAGTCTTTGCAGATTTCAGTCTATTTGCCATTTTACCTTTAGGGGAAACAGATAACACATAACAAAAAGATTTGCTATATAAACATGTTGTATAACTCTCTGCGCATCTCTTTACTCTGTCTAATCTTTGTCTAATAGACACGTCAGTTACTTCAATTGAATTAACACAAAAAAATTAAGCATCCATTATAATTCATTTAAAGACCGAAGCCAAAAATTCGTATTTAAATCTATGTTATCTTATTCGTTGTTCGTCGAAATAGTGATGGGAATCGTGCTGTACAATATCTGTGAAGTGTAACAACAACTTAAGACCTGGGTCTTAAATTAAATGCAACCCAGCTGGCTGCCGCGATCACGTCCACGTCGGGTTAAGCGTAATTTATGAGATATAACCACTTGACGCTGTGGTTTGACTACACCTTTACAAAATTGTTATTTCAAGCAAAATGGCGTTGATAGGTGAATTGTGGAGGTTGATAGTAGTGAACCTCGTTACGTGGTTGCATCCGAGCTGGGCTCTTCAGCGCGGCGTTGTCGATCTCGTTTCTGATTATTTCATCTACAAACAAGTTCACTTGATTTGCTACTTGTCCTGCGACACGCAACATGGTAAGTTTGATTTTAGTGTTTTCTCGTGTTTAGCGGGCACAACGACAAAATGTTAACCAATTACATTTTTAGTACAGGAGATTGGGTTATATTAAATCACTGAAAAAAAAGACTTGGTCTTGGAAACTCGTTTTCTTGAGTTGAAACGTGCGCAACGCAATTTGCTTAAAATACTGTATTATAAGAAAGGTTTTCCAATAGCAACTTGTATCAATTATATAAGTTAGCCACTGTAAGGAAACTAACACTACATAATTCAAACTGTACTCAGACACACAGGTCTCTAAAATGTGATCTAAATATTCCCGAAAAGGAAAGACATTGTGGTACAAGTACCTAAAGTAAATACAACATTTGCAAATATTACACAATTTAATAAGCGATCGGCACATCTATATAATTTTATTACTAAAGTTACGTTATAAATATACTCCAAAACTTATAGAGACTGCAAGAAACTTATCTTAAAATAGTACATACACACACAAACACAGTTTTAAGATTAAAATTAAAGTTAAAAAGAATGAATTGTTTGGATTTGAGATTGTTTGGAAATGTGAAAATTAAATTTAAACACTAAATTGTAAGTTAAACTGTAAAATGTGCATTTATAGCTATGGAAGAGGGTGCCTCCTGACACAGGTTTGAGTGCTTAAAACTTGAATGGTTTACATATCCACGTATTTCAGTTGTCTTAAAAAACTAACGAAGAAAGGATTAAAAGAGAAGTAAAAAATAAAAGTGACATAGGTCTAGAATCAATAATAATAAATAAATAAGATTCTCGAACAATAGGTTTAGTAACTAATTAATAAATATAAAGCAATAATTACAAATTTGCCAAAAAAGATTTATAAAATTTTAAAGTTTAAAGATGTAGTGACGCTCATATACCCCTTAACACTATATTTTAAATTGTACTATTGTGACTTTGATAATATGAAATAAGTGATTCTATACTACATTCTATACGTGTTGCTTTTAAGACAAATAACCCTTAGGCTGTAGGCTTTGGCAAGGAAAAAGTGGAAAGTGGAAATAAGTCGGCAGTCTGTAAGCTGACATGTGTATGTAAAAAATGTAAGATCTGGTGTATATTCCCATTAATACGAAATCTTACACTTTTGTGTGATTTAGAACAGATGGGTATAATAACTAGATACAACAATAGGGATATATAATAAATGAACAGTCCCGTGTATTCCTACGTAAGTTTTGTTTGATAAATAATATTAATAATAATCATGATGAACAATGAATGTTGCGTCATATCCCAACATTGGGTGGTAGTGATGGTGGTGGTTGGATGGGTATTTTCAAATTAGAATGAAGATAACAGAGGGAGTAGCACGATATAAATATGGCCGACTGTTCTAGGGAAGTCCTCAACAACTCTGACCACCCTGTCATTCTCGCCACTAATTATACTCCAGTGCTGAACTGGGGTGTGACTCCTGTAGATTTATTCCTACAGCACGGCCGACACGGCGGAAGTTTACTGTAGCGTCCTGATCCTAGGTCAGTGCCTGCTACTTTAGTTTTTAAAGAGGCTTCAGCTCGCCCTTTTATTTGGAGCGCATCATACTAGGTGTAAAAGTAATGGATTGTGTGACAAACCCAGTTGTCAATGTAGTTTAGACGGCGGCTAAGTTAAAGTGGAATTGGGTTGTACACGTCGGCCGCATGCTGAGCGAGTTGTGGGCAAAGGTAATCACGGAGTGAAAGCTCCACAACTTAAAACGGAGACGCGGTAGACCACGTTGGCGAGGTGACTTGGATTCTTTTTAAGACGCTGAAAAGCGCCGATGACCTTGAGCGATCGATGTTTTAAGCCACGCCTACTATATTACAATTTATGAAATGAATTAGCTAGCTAGGTGCAGTACGGGCGTCATAGATCCATCCAGCAACGCGTCTCAGCTATCACTGCCGACCCTCATATGCGTAAAAGAGAAGAAGTACCAATAGTTTGCTAGCGTCCCAGAAAAAGGGTTTATTTTCAAAATTAGGTTCAAAATGAAAAAAATAAGATAGCCACGGTTTTCATTATTGAGTAATACCTTACCTTCTTCAAAATTTTATGAATTTTACTTGGTATATTACGGATATATTTTTGTCTTGAAAGCGTAGAATAAGAGGTAATTTTGAGACGTTTTTTATCTAGTAAATATTGTAAAATCGTATTTTACTTTAGAATAATACACATTTTTTCCACTGCCACAGGTTAAACAGGTCTTCATAAAAGCGCTTTAAAGTGAAGCGTAATCGAGGGTTTTCATCGTCTTAAAGGACTGGCAAGGCCAGGATCAATGGGAAAAGAGGGGGAGGCCATTAGACAGCAGTGTGACAGAATTGGCTCATAATAAATGCTACTAAAAAAAGTAAGTTGTGTTGAAATTAATCATTATTGACATTTTTTCAGAAAACATTCAATTAGCGAAGGAATTGGGCAAATTGAACATGCGAGTATCCGTGAAACATATAGACGGACACTTACTTGGGCTGGAAAAGACGCTGGTACAGTGGCATGTGCCTGTCGGGGTGCTGTTGGATGGGTCCTGCATTAACATTCGTGCAGTGCTAGATAGCGTAAGACTTATTTATATTTGCGTAAATTGTTAAATGTGAAGAGACCTCTTCTAATTATTTGTATTATACTTATAAAAGTGTACGGATCCTTTTTATTTTTTATTTTTTTTTTTTTTTTTTT